CCTAATGTATTAGTATCTGTTAGTTATTTTTCAACGATATTTCACACCGAACTGTTCATCATTCAGATGTTGGAATACATGATCGTCTCGAAAAGGTAACTCTGTATTTCTTACCAGGATCAATATCCCAGTGTTAGGCTTTAGGATGTCTTTCGTCGTGCATTCGGCATTTGGTCATCTGGACGCACCTCCTCTTTCCCGATGATTGATGATGTTCTCACCAAGACACCAAGCCAGTAGTCATCATTGAAAACGCTGAAACATTATCTACTTGGCCACTGACCTAAGAGACTCACCTCTGATTGTTTTAGACGTATTCTCATGTAGAGTTCTGTAAATTCATCAAATTATTTCAACCGTAGCAATAATTTCATCTATATTCTATGCAATGAATCAAAGCAAAAGAAAAAGAGAAAATCTGTCTGGCTATCACTTTTATGCCCAGTTGTCTCGTTATTTAACTGCTCATTCGCGTGACCACATCTCTGTTTGTTATTATTATTATTACTATTACTACTACTATTTTGTTTTACCAAACGCTAACAGAGAATTGGCTCCTTTAAGTATTGCATAATACATTTCTAATTATTCTCTGAGCCATAACTGATATGCATATCCGTTTATTGACTCAAATTGGTTGATTTTGGTATAGGAAATAGCCGATAATTTCAATGATTTTAACACTGTTCTTCATAATAGAGTTCATTTATTAGGGCACTCTTAACTCAGGATTACAGAAAATCATCCTTATAATTGGTGAGTTCATTAATACAAGATTTGCATTTACTTTAAGATACATTCGACGTCTCCATGTACAGCGGATCACGAAGCAAAAGCAAATAGCTATGCAGAATAAGATGAGACCGTCATTTATTTCATTGATTTTTCTTTCGCTGTGTACAACCTAAAAGATAACTGTGTATGAACTGAAACATACTTGCAAGGATTACATTATTCACTAGTTATTATGAATAAGCAATATATGACTCAAGTCTTCACAAGTGTTGGTTTGCGGCGATTTGTTTGTTTTCAGGATCTCATTATGACTTGACGTCGGTTAGAACATCATTGGGAAGACAGTGAGTACTGGATAGTTGTCCCATCTGCCCAGTTTAAAACGTCAGCGGTACGCATCCACCTCACTGCCAAGGTTCAAACCCAGGACCTGCTGATAACATGGTGAGCTAGCTTGTAGACCGTTAGGCCACTGGAACCCTATCCACTGGCCAGCTCATGCGTTCCAAATTCTGCTAATTCACTAGTCGGATGTGAGGAGAAATACTGGCTACCGGTGACATTGGCTAGTCTCACTGGCACCATATCATGAATTGGCAGAAGTTGGAATTCATTGTCTGCTCATCGGATCACATCCCAGTGGCCAAATGAACGGTATACGAGCCCATACTGAAACTGGAAAGCTGTAGGTTTGAACCATATCAGTGGGTGTGTACTGCTGCAGGCTGACGAAACAGGTATTCATTACTCCTAGCTGGTTTTCCAATGGTTGCCTAACCGATGTCAGCTCATGATGAGGTCCTGAAATCTCGAATTCAACGAATCGATGCCTACCAAACATTTACAACCTGATTTTGATTCCCAGAAAGATTCACTTGTCGGTTATGCTTTTCTCTTGTCAATTAGCATCTAATCTTATCCTTTTACTTGATTATATAACCCTTAGAATTTAACCTACCTCATTTTACTTTATTTATTTATTTATTTGGTTCATTTTTATGTTTCCATGACACCACATAAATTCACCTCATTATTAAGCAACTGACTGATTACTTATCATCAATTTTCAACTTTTTATCTTGACTGTGCAGCTCAGTTTTCAACATGTTCGACCTCAAATTTTGTATATTTATATCTTGTTTGAACACTGAACTCTTTGCTTAAGTTATAAATATATGTATATAAGTTACAAGCTAATGAAATAAATGATGGCCTCATACATTATTATTCTCCATAAATGGTTATTGGTTAGTTCTTAAAACTACGTCACAGCTCTTCGCTCTGCAAACACACTGCTGAACTGTCTTTTGCCAGACGGTGAAAACTCAGGAGACAACCAGAAGTTAGGGGTCAACGTTGTAATAATAGGGAAATTCAAAGATAATAGGAAGAGTTTGGCTGATCGATCTCCAGGTTAGTCAAAGTATAAAGGTCGCTGGTTCGATTCCCACTACAGCTTAGATATTCACTTTATTTTTACATCATCATCATTGCTCAAACGCACAAATATTTGACCTCTGAAGGTTTCAAAGAAAAAGAAGCATCATCAATAAAAATAGGTATCTACCATATACTATTCTACTGACGGATCACTTGCTTGCATGATAACTGATCACTACTTGTGGTGAAACCAGTGAAATGATTACCTCACTAGAAGTTGAATGCCACTTGAGAATCAGATTAGTAATTTCTAGGACGCTAGTTCAGATCCTACTCTGAACAAGAATTTCATTCCACTATTTAGTCATCACGCACCATACAGATAACAGTCTGTAAATTGTGAAAGAAGAACCATTGGAAACTAGAGATTAGTGTGTAGCTGTTTCATAATAGTTCCAGGTTATCAGGGCAGTACACACACCAATGATGCCACTGAGGATAGAACACAGAGTGTTCACATTAAAGAGGGGAAACGCTGACCTAGGGGACGGACCTGGAGAAATTAGTCGGGAAATAAGACCTAATTGAGTTTGAGCCATATTCATCATCACAGCAACTGCGTGTACTGAATTACAAAACGAAGAGCAAGTCGTTGATCGATAATGAAGTTATCTGAGTTAACCACGAGTATTTAAACTTAAATTTATCAAAGTCACGGAAAATAAATAGATCTGATGTAAAGATCTGATGGGTACATGAACTCTAGCTTCATTTTTACTTAATGTAATGTACGAAATCAAAACAAACTCGACAGAAGCCTTTTTTAAAGAAACCTAAATCTTTTAGTATTGTTAACTAACAACTCCAGACAAAGTCATAACAATACAAGTAAACAGGTATTCATTTATGGTACCGAAAAATAATCTAAACATGAGTTGATAACGACAATTATCCTGAACAATAAGTACTCGTGATCTTGTAAGACTGATTGCTGTTTGGTGTTATCCATGAATATTATTCTGCCTACTAACATTTGGACAGCAGAAAGGAGAAAGGCACACCTTCGATTTTCTAAACATGTACCATTAGGCTTACCTCTCCAGCAGGGAACAAATTGCTTTAGTACTTCAGTTACAAAGCATCTCCTTGATACGCGTTGTGAGATGGAAAGTGAGAAATCTTTTAGAATGACTGATGGACAAAAAAGGTCAATTCTCTTCAAGTTTGCCAAAAGAATCTCTATCAAATGCCTGAAACTCAATTTATGTGCGTGTGTTCAGAAAGAAGGAGTTACCACTGTCTACTCAACCTTTCTGGTAGCTGGATGTCTTCATCCTCTATTTCATTTGATTGTGTAATCTTTGGGTTTAAACACATTCACACCACTGTAGTTTCGTTTGTTTCTTCTTTCTACGATTTGAGTTGCATTCATTACACTGTTAGCCAATCCATTAGCTACTCTTCATCTTGCGCACCCCTTATCTTAATCGTGTAACTCCCCTACCATTGTATGCATCCATTTACTGTGTATAAAGTATATAAGCGTAATTTTCTGAGCACTGTTCACTAGGTCTGGAACCTTTTGATAACTGACATCATGAACAGTTTGCACAAACTTAATAATATCTTTAGGCTGTAAGCAGTTGATGAGAAGCCAACCAAATAAACGATGGTACCATCTTATTCTGCATAAAACGCTGTTGTTCTTGCAGATTCATGCAGATTCATAAAATGGAATACATTATTGAAGAAAAATCTGCTTTCATTCAAACCAAATGGTGTTCTTAAAGATTACTGATTCAACCAATATTGCTCAAGGTCCTATCAAGATAGTGTGTGTTTTCTCCTGAGGAATCGATTAAATTCTTTGTTTAAATTTATTTATTATTTTCTGTTGACTGATCAATCGAAATATTTGCTCTCTGTTGATATGTGGCTAGTAGAGAAGACTCTTTGACGATGCTTAGAAATTGAAGTGTTGTTTATTTTTTTATTGAATAGCAGCGGAATCCAGGATGGACAGTTTGCCATGATGTGCCCTCATCCCTAATAAGCGATAATGTTTCTATTGATATTCAAAGCCAACAGTCAACATCTGAAATGCCAGAGAGGCTGTACACAAGGTCACTGATGTCACTGGAGCTAATCCCTCTAATGCAGAGGGTATCAATGAAAATGACAGAAGCCAGCAAATACTGAATCAAATTCAATAAACATACCTGTTGTACATAAATACTTTAGTCTTTGCAACGAAAGTTGTTGTAACCGAAGACGTCACCAGTGGGATACTCAGTGACAAAACTGACTTCTTATTGAACCACAATGTACATACGAATTCAAAGAGTACCGCGATTGCAACTGTCGATTACAATTCAAATCCTGACTGATAAAATTCGGTCATGAATTGCGACATGAATTCGTGTAGGCTTTTTATCTGGCTTCCAGCCTACATTTTGTCCTGCACTTTATTGAGAGAACCATTGAATACCAGAAGGTACTAAACATGTATCTCGTCCCTGTCTGGGACTCTTCATAGTGCCCACTTATGAACCTAATAAGGGCAGGTGATCACTTTGTTTACCACGAATTGTCAGAAGTCAGGATTCATGTGCAGCACGAAGCTCCTGGGTTCGACTAGTGATGGGATCATGGATGTACATACCTACTGCCTACTCAAGAGTCCGAAACTGAGGTAAAATTGTACTGTCCGAGGCCAACCACTTTTTAGAAGGGCTCTCTAAATGATTTATTAGTTCGTGATCGAACCCGAAATGTATAATTCATCTTTGAAACGTTTTATTTGTGGCAGAAAGAAAAACTGACAAATTTTCGGTTTTTCTTCTCCACTTAATTTTTTCTCTCTGTCTTTCTCTCTCTTTTTTCAGTATGTATGTAAAACTCAATTAGATCGTCAACTGACCGATGCGAATGTATTAAAATCTGTTCTTGGTTTACCCTTATCAAGTATGTCCAGTTTTGGAGTTTATCCGTTTCTCTTTATTGTAACGATTTTCTCACTTGGTAAATATTGGCTTTTATCCTTAAATTCTCCACACCAACAGGTACATCATTGGAATGTGAAATGCAATCTTAGCTCATTATCTTTAGCGTTGAAAATGCATTATGGAATTTGTTGGATATATTTTATGGAAAGAATAAGGATTATACATCACTGAAGACGAGGCAGCGCTTGACTCCTATCTCTTTTCCTATTTTAAATATCATTCTGCAGCTCACTGATGGACCGCTGGATGAATTTCTTGAAGCTGTACTTACAATTCATGACCAGTATGATCCATCATGTCATTGTCAACTGGGTGCTCATCGAATGTACTTGTTGAGAGTTGTGTTACATCACGAATTTACAAAAGTTAGAATTCACACGCCAAAGTGGCTGAACGGCATATACGTTTGTTCGTGAAGCCAAAAGGTTCGGCGTTCGATATCTGGCAGTATCATAGTTGCCTACTCTCTAGGGATCTCATTCTAGCAAGAAGCAGATGCTCAGCTCTCCTTTTTATTAGTTCGTGACAAAGTCCACATGGAAATAGGTTACTTTGAATTTCTCGTTGATTGGCCACATTCAACTGAAATGTTCCTTTAATAGGCACCAGTAACTAGCGTGACGTGTCTAGTCCTTCCTTTGGTGCAGACTGAATTCGATCAGTCAGGTTTGCAATGTGGCCACCATTCTAGGTAGCTCGCCATCACGGTGCACATTGATTTGATGATACTAGATAGTTGGAGGAAATCGGAAGGAAGCCTTGGACCGAGGTTTCGTGCTAGTTAGCACTCAGCAGTCAGCAAGCCGCATCTGCAGTCACCTTGGAGGAACTCATGTCCCTTCCGAGGAGATTCAAAACTGCGTCACCCAGTGATGCAGTCAGAGATGTTACCACTGAGCTATTCAGGTTCGCGATTGACCTCGTGTACGACTGTAGTGGGTATTTTCATTAGACACTAGTAACTAGTGTCCTGTGTGAAGTTTAACTCCCTTATGGATAAAATCTTATTTTGATAAAATCAGTTTTACAGTAATATTTACTGATGACCACTCTTCGAGCACAAATTATTGACACTCATATTCAAATCAAGTCACTCACACAACTTTCTCGCTTCATTTATATACATGAGTGAAATTGATGATTAGACATTTGAATAAAAATCAATATGTGATAATGTACATTCAGAAATCATAATACGACTGTTATCAATCAAATACAATCAGATGGGAAATAAGACGAGTGTTTTTTAATAGTCAAAATAAGTAACTCGTTAGAATGTTATAATTAATGTATGTGAATTAAAATAGAATTTTTAAGATTATCTTTTATCCTCCTCTAATTTGATTGGCATGTGTTGAGCGTAGACACAATGAATCAGGATTCAGTAATCAACCTCTCTTTCTAGTAAAGTATAATTATATTTTAATAGTTTACACACAATGATAAGTTTTGTTATTGGTAATATTTCGAGCAAAATTACTGCCCGTGTTCACACCACTGTTCACACCACACTGTGAAATGAAGACACACCCTGGATTCCACCATTTCTAGTCACCATCCACCAACTAATCAAATCCAGAAATTTACATTGTAGTGTGAATTATTTTTATACATAGCTTTTCCAGTATTGGTTTTTGTAGGGATTTTGTTTGATTGCATGGAGGATTTAATCATGAGCTGACATCAGTTAGAGAACCACTGGAAAACCTAGGAGTACTGGACAGCTGTTTCGTCCTAGTCTCTTGGGACTCTTCAGCAGTACGCACCCACCGGGATTCGAACCCAGGACCTTCTGGTTACAAGGCGAGCTCGTAGACCATTGGATCGGGTCCCAGTGGCTCAATGGTCTACGAGCTCGCCTTGTAACCAGAAGGTCCTGGGTTCGAATCCCGGTGGGTGCCTACTGCTGAAGAGTCCCAAGAGACTAGGACGAAACAGCTGTCCAGTACTCCCAGGTTTTCCAGTGGTTCTCTAACTGATGTCAGCTCATGATTAAATCCTCCATGCAATCAAACAAAATCCCTACAAAAACCAATACTTGAAAATTCATCTGATGCTCACTAGTGACTGGCCCTATTCAGGCAGTTAACCTGGGGTTCTAGTGGGAAGCCGTGACCAGTAGGGTACAGCAGGTCGAAGATGAAGCAGTAACTCATCGGAGAAGACATAGCTTTTATCGAAAAAATATATATTTTATTTCAAACATTCTTTTTTTTCTCAAAATTACAATCACTCAAAATTTTAATTAAATTTTAAACAAGTCACTTGCTGTGAAATGCATTCTTTCGGATAGTTCTATTACTTTATAAAACGAATAACGTAAACGGTTATTACAGGAAGTAACATTAGTAATAATAATAATAATAATCATATTATTTGGTCGCATGACTTATTCAAAAAATCTCTTGTGAATGTTTAGAATTTCATAAATTTTTCGCCGCTCAACTTTTAATTACCTCTTGTTGCTGCTTGACATATTAATCTGTGTATGTATGTGTGTATGTGTGCATGTATGTACAACGGGAAAAACGCAATGGATTTCGTACTAATTAGTAGTCTCGTAAGTCAAAAAAAGAAGATCACCCTATTTGATCTTCACCGTTTGACTGCCCTTATCTAACTGGCAATCACTTATACCAACATGTGATATTCAGATGTTGGTTTGCAGGGATTTGATTTAATTGGTTACAGGATTTCATCATCAGATGTGACATTGGGTCTTAGTGAAAAATTGTGACCAATGGGGTAAAACAGGTTGAATGTGGGAAGAAATACTCGCCACCTATGTCAATGGCTAATATCAGTCACGCTATATCGTGGAATGGTGAAAGTTGAAATTCATGGAGTGGCCATTGGATTCGATCCCATTAGCTGAATGATGAAATGGTCTCCAAGCTGATTGGCCTTGTCACCGAAAGGTCGTGGGTTCGAACCCTGTCGGCGGATCCATAATGTTGAAGAGTTCCAAACTAAGAAGAAACATTCAGCTATCAAGTACTTCTAACACTGGCCTTCCAGTGATTCTCGAACCGACGTTTTTGATAATTAGTGAAAGTTATATTTGCGTATTAAGTCCATACTATTTTTAAGAGATTTACAATCCCTTTTATGAAGAAAATCCACTCGATTGCCTGGCTATCTATTTCTTTAAGTTTCACACAGACGTATCAGAGAAGTGTAGTTGCAAGATCTCTATTTGCATCATTTTTATCTGAATAATTGTCGTCAGTTCTGCATATCTGCACAAGCAGATACACAGACTGTTTCAACTCGAAAAATGTCGGTTACTGAATGTCCTGTGGAATGTTTCCGACTGTTTTTGACTATTTCGTTTGCAAAGTAGGTGGTGGTTTTGTCAGTATGCGGATCTTTTGCAAAGTTCGTTTTTTGTTCTAGAGTTTTGGATAATTTTTTTCTTTTTTTTGTCGATGATAAGTTTTCACATTGGATATTCTATCAAATATTGTAACAGGTTCTTGCCTTCTTTATGATTCTTTTCAAAAAGACGTTTAAATAAATCAACTGCTCTGTGAGACTTCGCCGAGAGTGACAGCATGGTTCATTTTCGAATGGTCTATCTAGCCTCATCTTTACAGTCGTATGAAAATTACAAGAGATGCTGTTCAACATCTTTCATCTTAGAAGCAACATCAAGGCTGAAATAACATGATGACTGACATGATGAAGTAACACTACTCTAGATTCCTCATCAAAGGTTCATAATTCCACTTTCGGCATCTAAAGGATGACGTCAGGAAGCAAAAGGTTTACTCCTCTGTAATTTTCATAACTATCAGGCATAAGAATTCTTTCAGGAACAACATTACTTGCCATCTTGGTATCTGGGAGGACTGATTCATGACATTATAGTCATCAGACAACGAAACTACTGTCATATCCTCTTTCGGTTTTGTAAAATATGTAACATTTCAGACTGCTGCTACTCATCCTGAAACTCGTGAAGTTCTAACTCCTGTTTTGAGGTCAGCCGACGTCCCCAGCTAATCTTCACACATACAATAGCAAAACCTGTACGAGAGTCATGATCTGGAAAAGCGTCACAAGGGACTTCTTCACAACTGTTTCCGTCTGTTATTATTTCATTTATTATTCCCTTGGGTTTTGATTAAAAATAGGGCTTCAATAACATAGCTCCACTTTGTCCTGTTCTCTGCTGTCCTTTTCAGTTGGATCCACTATTCTGCATAATCTCTCATCTTCTCCTCGTACGATATCCTCTATGTCACACTCAGATGACCTACTCGTCGTTTTGCACTGAGATTTCTCTAGAGTGATGGCCTGCTGTGCCAGGTCATTCGACAGTCTCCTCAATGTATGCCCATCCATCTCCACTTCCTCTCACATGTTTTTTGTACGGTCGGCTCTTGACTGGTTTGTCGCCACAGTTTCTTGTTACTAATTATCTCTGCCTGACCATTTGATTTTCCCTATGGAGACAGCAAGTTGAGCAGCTGTTGATAAACGTCGGCATCAGCCTGTTGAAAGTGTTTGTCATGATCCCAGAGCCGAGTTTCTGACAAATATAAAAGAACTGACTAGCTGACTTCACATTTGTGTCGAAAATCCGAATTTTTTTTACTTGATATGAGTGCAGTAGATCTGCAGACCGATTTCAGATTGGTGAAGGGGTATTTCACCTTTCCGATTCTGGCTGGCCCTGATATCTTCATCCGTTCCACTCTCTGTGGCTGAAATGATGCTTCCTGGCCAGATAAGTGAATGAAATAATCCCTGTCAAACCCTCTCCCCCTGATGGTGACTGGTGCTGTTTGTTGCTGCTTTTGGTTGACTGTCTTCATCACCTCCGTGTTCTCCATGTTCACACAGAGTCCTATCTTCACTGTTTTCGCCGCCTACTTGAAGGTCTTTCAGCCTGTATGATGGCAAACATAAGTCATTCACGTGTGAAATCCAGATCTTCTAGGGTCTCTTTATCGG